CGATTGTTGAGTGGTTGGCATACCTCTCAGTAGCTGGTAGAACACGTGAAAGTTTCGGTCGCCCTTCTTGTGCGCCGTAATCCGCGCAGCCTCCAACAAGTACGTCTTCAAACTACCACCTCTCAAGAGACCTCCATTGTCGAAATGCAGAAGTGTGAGTCGCCCAACTCGGCTACTGTTCTGGTTTCTTCTTGTGGCAGCGTTGCCGAAAGACTCAAAGATTGCGTTGCAAGAAACAATTCGATTTCGGAGCTCTGTTGCTTCGTTTTGCGTCTGAACGCCACTTAGAAGTGCAGCAACTTCAGTTCGTTGCTCAGCAACTGTTCTGGGTGCAGAGCAATGGCTGTTAATCCCGACTGCTTTGTCAGGGATAATCCCGCTTGGTTCCTGCGAGGAAGTGGAGACGTGGGTGAGAAAAAGCATAAGCTGCTTGCTTGTTTCGGTTTTTCCGGCTCCGCTTTGCCCCGAAACCACAATAGTTTGACTGGTTTGTGTCCCCACAAGACGACGCAGAGCGTCTTCTGCAACAACGAACGGATGCGGTGGCGGCCTGTTTCGGCTTGCAGTGCTGCGCTTGAAAGCTTGTTCTGCAGCGAGCGCTTTGGCCTGCATCCCGTATGCCTGTGTAGTATGTTCTGCAGACGTGAGGGAGTTTATTGTCCACGGATTGACATTTTTCCTGTCTGCAGGATCACTAGAGGAGCCCAAAACACCATCAGGACATTCGATGAGGGAGGGCCGGCGAATGGGTAGAACTCCAGGTAGACTGTCGAGAATGGAGCCAATGGCGCTGCTGGAGTCGGTGAGACGGCCTCTCTCCCTGCTGTTGTGCCACTGCTCTTCTGAAAAGTTGCGGCGATACGTTCGGGCAACCTCCCTCCAATTCCGGTAGAGAAGGATTTGCTGTGCAGTGTACAAGTGAGGCAGTGGCTTGTAGGGGTTGACGGCCAGCAGCACATTTGCTGCGTAGGTGTAAATCTCATCTCGGATATATCTATGTTGAAGAAGCTGAAGCAATGCGGCGGCTGACAATGTTCCGCAGCTGGCGCTATCATCTGGCATTGGGTGAGGCGGCAAGGGGGGTGCATTGTAGGGCCAAAGGTGGGTGAGAGGGACTTCGAATGGCGGCTTTGGAACAAAATTCGCAATAGTTTTCTTGGCCGCAGCTTCAGCTGCGTTTGATGCTTTGTGCTGTACGTTTTCTAGGAAAATAGTACCCGGGTTCCCAGAAGACTCGCAGATGTTCTTTTCAGGGAGTGTGCATAGCACAGTGTTTTCGAGCCCCTCGCATGGCTGCGGCACAGGGCTGTTGTAACCTCCACAACTCTGGGCAGGATTTTTCTGCCTCAGATCAGTACTTTCTGGTGCTAGTCGGTGCTCTTTCCATTGCTCGGTGTGGTTGCTTGACTGCAGATCCTGCAGGGCAATTGGTGGAGACCGTGCGCCGTCCTGCCCTTGTTTGTTGCACTGTGTCACAGATTGATGAGACACAAACGGATTAGTAGCAAGTAGGGCTGCAGTGGCTTCCCGCACCACTGCAGCGGCTGCTTGCGCTGCAGCCACACCGCTGGCTCCCTCTGGGTGTGTCTCCACGTAGGCATGCCTGGTAGAAAAGTCCACGCGTGACACTTTCACTGTCAGAAAACCATACTCGTTATCTTCAACCCAAGCTAAGGAACCTGCGGGAATGGTGGGGGATGTGCTCGCCCGCCCGCCTTCTGTGTCGGAAGGCTCCATCTGCAAGAAGCCTAGTTAATCTCATGAGCAGCCACACCCCGACAGTTGAATGAAGGGCTAAAAATATATTACGGATATGAGGCTCAGATGACGTTTCTAATTGTAAAAGGAGGAGCGATTCTTTCTAAATCGACACAGCTTCTTCCTTGTGCATTCGCATGCTCAGCTGTGCTGGGAACAGCGTAGAGAGAATGATGGAAGCCAATCTTGTTCCAGAGTAAATAGGCAAGACTATGCGTTTTCCCTGGAGTGGCTGCTTTCATCCGCGTAGAGTGAGGCTCCAAACGAACAGCTCGGTGCCAGTGGTTCAGTCGCAGGCTCGACGATGTACTTCACACCTTGAAACTGTGACAAACAATCCAATGCAGCCCTTATTTTAAAAAAAGAATATATTAATTTGATGGGCTAATAGATGCCGCCGACGAGAGCAGCTCATGTCAAAGAAATTTCTTCGGTGACCTGGCAGTCGGCTGAAGTGGCCCATTGTCTAGTGGGTGCCCACACCTTCCACATCACAACTCTGTAATAACTGCAGCCGTGAAGGAGCCGTATTTCCAAACTAGGAAGAAAAAAATATATTATCATGGTTTTTAACTTAGAAAAGGTTTGGTTCTGCTGCGTTAACGTAGTGGCTGGGTGCACTGTTCGTCTCGGGCCCAAGGCGTAATCATACAAAAGCGGAAGCAGTAACGCTGTGCTGCTTAGCCCCAAGGAAATGGAATGTATTTTTGAGACGTAATTTCGACCCATAAACTTTTCCGTTTGCGTCCATTAAACACACAGATTCAGGGGTTTATGCAGGTGGCTTCGTTGCGGAAGGAGTTTTCGTGCTTTGAACAGAGAGCTAGCAAAAGCACGGAAAAATAGCAGAGACATAGATTTGGGAGTAACTCTTTCTAAAGACCTGGATATTTTGGCCGTTGAAATTTAGGAGCAAAGGATTAACGGCCAGCAGAGCAAGTGCTGTGCGCCTTTGCTGCGAGCCAATGCTTGGTTCGTAGCAAAGGCTCACAGTCCTTGCTTGAGTGTCTACTGCATACCGCGCCAAAGTAGACTTGATCATAATGGGTAAACCACCGAATATAGTAAAGTGTGTCGAAAGTTCCTCAGTTACTTCCACTGCGCAAGCACAGTCCGCCATCATCTCAAAACAGCGATACTGTGAAAGCACGGGTAAACAGTAGTCGTTCCGGCCCATGTTGCGCGCGGGACACAATTGTTACTTGTTGACGATAACATGCGGCTTCGTTTCATTTAGACAAAACTGCATTGTCTGTTGAAGGATCATAGCATTATCTGAAGGGGAGTCACTACGAAGCGCCACTCGCTGCATTGAATTTTGGTGCACGAGCTACAGGTATATATCGCTGCAGCGATTATCACACTGCCCATCGATGTCTGCCAACAGATGATCTATTGCCGTTCGCTCTCGTTGCAAAGAAGCAGCGTCTCGCTGAGGCTCCAACCTCCGCCTTCTGGCGTCTAGAGCTGAATGGACTTCTCGCTGAACGGCGGTGTGCTTATGTCGAAGATGTCTTCCGAACTTGAGGGGCCCCTTGGGCTTGGCAGAGTCTTAAGTGCTGCTGCTGCTGCTGCTGCTGCTGCTGCTGCTGGGGAAGAGCAAGGCGGGGCCCCACTTGCTGTTGTTGACACATCATGCGGGCATATGTCTGCTGGAGAGGGCAGCCGCAGCCTGCTGCTGCTGCTGCTGCTGCTGCAGTGCCTAGCAGCAGCAGTAGTCCACCCCCAGCGACCCACGAGAAATACGCTGGAGTCCGGGTACTCTTCTTCTGTTTCCACCACAACTACGTGAAGCCACTGCTTGTGCATTTTTCACTCTTACAGCAAACAAAAAGAAACAACAAGCAAACACAGTAGTAACAGGCCACTGATAAAGCACTTTGCTGCGGGAAAAATTTGGTTGATCCAGTCTTCACAGAGTTGGCCAGATTGGCTGACACCGGCAGCGCAGTGAAAGCCAAAAAATCGCCAAAAAACAGACAGGCAAAAAGAAAAGACTACGGTAAAGCCACAATAAGAATTCCAAGCAGGACACACCGCTGGAAGGGGCCTAGCATAAAACTTAAAAAGACAGTGGAAAACGTGCTGACAAAAGGCTAGGTATTCATATGGTAAGGTCTCCAATCGCACGCCAATTCCCTTCTTCGTTCCCCAGACATAAGTTGAGAACGCCCGAAGAACACATTCTCTGCAGCATACATCACAGCAAGCACAGAACTGAAATTTTGCCCTGGTGATAGGAGACAACTCAGTTGCTATGCCTGACAACATGATTGCTTACAACAGAAACCAAGACTCCGGGGAGAGATGGCAAAGGCACCACAGCTAGAAACTCAGCTCCAGATTCCGCGGCATCATGCGAAGACCTCGAATTGTCCTGGCCTAAATCACGCAGAATCCTTCCGCTGCGTTTGTCAACCAGAGCTATTTCGTAGGACCTGAAGTCCCGTCTCAGAGACCTCATTTCCCCAAATCTAAACCGAATATTTGAACAACCGTGAGATTTGGTGCAACCTTGCTCAGAGTCGCAGGTGTCGGTGGTGCCTCCGGTGGTGCTGCTGTCACTGTCCACGTTTTCAGCAACCCTCTCAGGATGATCACTTGCTGTACCATTATCTGAGACGGTTCTCAGAAGAGAACACGCTTCCCAAGGAAACGACCTCAACAGTCGACCTTCGTTTTCCCCAGGAGATGGCTCAAAACAAGACCACGTTGTGCCCCTGCCCGGCCGTTGTCTCAAAAATTGTAGCACAGGAAAAGGCAAACGGATCTGATCTAACAGTACAAGGTTTCCCGATCCACTGGCGAGGCCGCAGCTGCCCTCACTCCATTGTAGCAAAACCAGAGAGTCATCCGCAGTAGAAAGCAGCAAGAGCCGCTGCATCCTTGCTTCGAGAGCCCGCGTTACTTCTCCAAAGGGCATCAATTGTAGAGCCTGTATGATCGGGTCAGTGCCACTGACTGAACTGAGGGCTGCTGGGGCTAAACGCGTGTATGTGCATCCAGTAAACCATTCTTCAGCCACTTCAAGGCTCATTCCACTTACGCGCTGCAGCACACATAGTGCAGCACAAAGCTTACAGTCACTGATAGTAGGCTGCACGTAGATGTTGCAAAGCAGCGGCTGTACAGATGCTGCAGTGAAGAGTCTTCCAAGCAACTCCTCACCGGAACAGAGGCCAAGTTCCACAGAAGACGAAGCGGTGGATCCCTGACTCCTGACTGTGCTTCAAGCTCCTGTGGTGGATGCTGCAGATACCTTAGGTTGGTAGAGAAGATGGCGAGCAAGGAGGGGCCTGTGACCGCCCACACGTTGCCCCAAAGAGGTTGCAAACGAATTGTAGAGAGCATGGTGCTACGACTGCGTGCCGTAGGCCGCTGATTTCGTGCAGCACGAAGCTCAGCGGCTGCGCTTTTGATTTTCCCAACATTAGTGTTAGACTCTAGGAGAGCTGTTTGGGAGAGCTGTTGAAGGTACGCAGAGTTGCGGCGAGCACAGACTGATAGATCATGGGACGCAAAAGACAGAGGAATCCAGCCAGCAGGTTCCCTCCTCAACAAGTCGACTAGAACGAGAGTGAGGTTGCCTATGCCGCTGCTGCTGCTGTTGTTGTTGTTGTTCTTGCTGCTGCTGCCTTGCACAAGGCACACGACGATGGCGTAATCTGCGGTTATGGGGCTTGCAAAGGAAACGCTGAGCGGCCGCACAGTTGGTGGTCGTAGGTGTTTTGTGTGACATAGTTGATCCTGAGGAGACTCTCTTATGCGATCTAGAAGGTCCCGGGGTAGCCATTTGCCGGGCGGAATCGCTTCTGTTGGCAAAAGTCGTTCCGGGAAGGCTGTGGCGCTGCCGTCACTGCCGGGGAGCAAATTAGAAAAAGTTGACAACCCCTGTGCTATGTTGCACATCCTCACTGGTCGATGTGGTGCGTCAGCTCCAACATCATTAGATGATGGTAGTCCTTTTGATGAATTAGGAAAACTTGAGTGGCAATCGAGACGGGGCAGAATTGTTGAGGGTTCTCCAAGAGGCGCGGTGCGACTGGGTACAGACCCTTCACAATCTGCTGTTGTCGTCTCCTCTTCTTTCCTTTCAGAATGGGCAGTACAGGGAGATGAAAGCAACAACAGGTGAGCAGCTGAATTGCTGGCTATGAACAAATTGGTGTAGAATGGATGTTTTGCAATTGTTAAAATCGGTGCTTCAGTGCTAACTAGCTGCACAGTGGGATCTCCGTAGCCTTCAACGCCAACAATCCGCTCGGCTGAAATGTCAGAAATTTCGTGAGTTTGTTCTTGCCTTGACGGTGAATTGGCGGAGAGGTAAGAATTCTGTGGAGCCTGTTGCAATCTTTTCTTCTCTGGTGCCGGTTTACCAGGCTCTACTGAAGGAACACTGCTAATGCGGGTAAAATACAGGTCTCTTCCGAGAAAGACAGCCACTTCGTGTTCCTCTCTAATGACGTTCTGTGTCTGGTCCCCCAGAGGGAAGAGTCGAGCATTCCAAGAAGGTATGAAATGAAGTTGCTGGTGCTCGTCTCCTGCTGCCCCAGACGCTTCACCTTGTCCTCTGCATAGCTCCTGCTCAGGTACGCTGGAGCCTTGTGAGCAATTGGCCTCCTCATTTGCTGGTGGCTGACATGCAGCTGACTTTTTCGCTGAGTCTGCGGCTGCTAGTGCCTGCCGGTAGCTTCGCCATGATTGCAGGCCTCGGCGCAACAGGATATGCTCAAGCGAAATCACACCCTGGCGAATGGAAAGCCGTCGCTGTGCACGTTCCCGCAAGGGGACAAGGATATGCTTCCTGAGTAGTATCACTCGTAAGGCCGCAGTGGCAGCCGCTTCCTTGATCTTCCTCATCAAGAAGGCTCTTCGCTGGAGCCATAGTAATTTCGGGTGCACATGCAAAATGGTGCGAACAGCCACACGCCACCTCAAACGTTGAATAGCCGTGATTAGCCTGCATAGGTCTTCAGTAGTTTTGAAGAACTGTGTTGGATCAGCTATTAGCGCTGCAGCTTCCCCATAGGCAGAGGCCTTGAAGCAGACGAGGGAAACGCCACAAATGAATGCGCCTGGTCGGCATTGGGGTAGCAACCCAAGGGTTGCAGAGGCTGTAAGAGCAAGCGCAAAAGCATCCACGCTTGCTACGTGCTCGTACGTGCGTGAAATGTATTGGCTCGATGGAATTTACTTGCCACGATGCTTTGCTGCTGTGGATTACCTCCCTTATTTACCTAGTGTTCGGTCCCGAGAAGCATTTGGGTCCCAGTGCCTTAAAGTCTCCAACAAGCGTCGTTGGCGGGCAGTTTCCTCAGCAGAGGGCAAAACTCCGAAATTGAATGGCGCATTTTTATTCTCTGCTTCCATTAGCTTTTGCACTTTTTGCTCTTGCTCTTCGAGCCGTTTCTCTAGTAGAGGGTATAAAGCCGCTCGTAGTTTGGCTGCCAGGGAGTGCAGTGGCATTCTGTGAGGAAACCCGGACTGCAGGATATCCACCAGAGCCAAGGATCCGGAATGTTGCAGCTGCACAGCAGGCAGAAAGCAGCATAAAGGTTCTCATGAGAACAGTAGGGGAGCTTGAAGAGAATTCTGCAAGCAATCTTCAACTACAACATTAGGACTACAGCAAAAGCAGGCCACAGGAGCAGCATCTTCGACATCTTTTGCCTATCTACGTTGATGAAATTGCTTTAAGGCTTGCGCTGCCATCACCTAAACCAACAACTCGCATACTTGCTGCAGTACGATCTTCCTTTCAAAAGCATCAGGTTTCATCTCGCAATTCGGGATGAAACATCGTATGAAATGGAGCTGCATGTGGGGCCCCTGCAGCTCCTGGTTCAGATCCTTCACACTCTTCAAAAAACGCTTCGTTATGGAGGAGAATTGACCACCCCCTGCAGTGCCTACGAAATTTCCTTCCAGCCTCTGGCTCGCTTCGTGCTGTTCCATAGCACGCCGTAGAAGCGACTTTTCGGACTTGGCAACAAGACGCTCTAGTTCGTGCTCGATCTGAGTGGAAAAGAATCGAATCGAAATTGCAGTATTACCGTTAACAAGGCAGCACAGCGAAGATGTCGTGGGCAAAACGTCAGCCTGAAACACCTTACTCGGTCGTTGTTCAGATCCAGCCAGCCATCCGTGCCGTACAGAACTGTTCCTGCAAAGTGCTTGACGGCGAAAACTCTCTCCTGCACTTTACCAGCCGTTGAGAGGGTTCCTCCCAGTTTTCCTCCTGCACCCACAGATGCCAGCTGTTGAGCTCCCACAAGGCCAATAAGATTAAGGTCGGCTTGCTCCAAGTGTTGCAGAAGCCTCCCGCTGGCAGCAGCTTCTGCTGCTTGCATCCCGTTGGTTCCTTTCAGACAGAATAGAATGCGGTGGTCACGCGGCGTCAGTATTTCCTGGTCTGTCTTTTGGGAGTTGTGCTTGTCTGCGGGATGCTGCGAGTGCTCTTTCATTGAGGCACAGTAAGCGAACAAGTCCTTCCAGAAGTGAATGTCGTCTCTTGCCTGGCCCTGGGCCAAGAGTCGGCATGAGTCATCTAAGCGTCTAAATACTCCTTCTTGCAATTCTCTAAGCAGCGCAGAGGTGTCTGGCAGGCTTGAAAGGAGGGTGCGCTGGAGATTCGCCTTGAAGGAGATATTCGGATCGCTTCGATGACTGCGTTCTTGGAGTTTTGAATCTGATTGCTCACTTTGCAGAGGGGACTTGAAATTTTGTCCAGCTGCCACTGCAGGGTTTGCAATTCCTTCTCGGATGTACAGGGCAACTTCTTCCTCGATGACCTGCTGGACGAACAGCTGTTGCTGTTTCTCGTTTGCGTAGTTGATGCAAAGCTGTTCCAACCCATTTTCCAAACCAAATGACTCGAAGCCGTAGATGTCAAGGACTACATTGGACCACCCACAAAAGCAAACAGAAGCAGACACAATCGGCTTAATAAAGGCTTTGACGACAGCACATGCAACAATGTACGTAGGCCAATCGAACGACAAGCCGTGCATGTGGAAAGTTATTTGAGTGCAGCTAGGAACAAAAACCTCGTCCCACTACTTGTTGTCTAATCGAAAATGTATACATGGGTAAGCTTTTACGCGCAAAGGCTTTTTCTAGCATATCACTATCAAATAAAGTACGAATTGCAGAAGACGTTTACCATGCCTAGAGCACAGCAAAAGTTTCTTACTGCCAATGGATTTCAGGGCATTTGCATCATTCTGCTTGTTTTGGTGCTGCTTTCCTCGCACGTGTCGCGCAGCACTTTTATTCAAGCGGTGCACAACGTAGTCAAAAAGTCGACTGTAGATGAACTTGATGAGAGA